ATACATCACATTTTCTTTATCCATTTGTTTGTTGATGGACTTTTAGGTTGATTTCATGTCTTTCCTATTGTGAATAATGCTGCGATAAACATGCAGGTGCAGTTCTCCCTCTGATATACAAATAGTAGTGGGATTGCTAGATCATATGGTAGTTCTATTTGTGGTTTTTTGAGGAAGCGATTCTCCTGCCTCAGCCTCCTGAGTAGCTGGGACTACAGGCACCTGCCACCACGCCCGGCTAGTTTTTTGTATTTTTAGTAGAGACGGGGTTTCACTGTGTTAGCCAGGATGGTCTCGATCTCCTGACCTCAGGTGATCCACCCGCCTCGGCCTCCCAAAGTGCTGGGATTACAGGCGTGAGCCACCACGCTTGGCCAGCCTGTTCATCTTTTATAATAAATACTGATAAGACATATTTACTTAGTACTTCCTACTGTGCCTAAGTGCTTTCTACAAACATGCCACTTAACTCCCTTAATCCTCAAAACATTATTAAGAGGTGGACACTATTTTTGTTACAAATGAAAAACGGGGATTGGGCGGCTGCCCAGCTGACAGAGTCTGCGTGTGCAGCCTTGCTCCTACCTGCCTCGCACTAACACTTGCCCAGCTCTGTGAGATTGAAGGAGCGTGCCTCTGCCTCCCAGTGTTACCCGCCTGCCCAGAGAGCTAGGCTGGTCTTGTGGAGCTGTTTTATGTCCAAGATGGCAGGGACTCATTTTCTCTGTAACAAGTCGGTTTCTAATCAGCCAAGTGTTAACTATCCAGTGTTAACTACCGCTTCCCATTAAAAAAGTTGAGTTATAAATTACCTAAAAGAAAATACACAGATCCTGTAGTGAGTTCATCGAGTTCATTCTCCTACATCAGGCATTTCAATCTGTCAATATGTATTTACTATAGCCATCAATTAATGGCTATTCAGGCAGGAAGCTATGCACATCTTCCCTTTTTAAGAACTCTGCTGAAAAGTTCTCCTGAGAATCGGGGCACACCCATTCTTTTATCCTTTAGGTTAATTAATTTCCTTACTTAATTACTTATTTACTTACAGGGTCTGGCTTTCACCCAGGCTGTAGTGCAGTGGCACTATCATAGCTCACTGTAACCTTGAACTCTTGAACTCAAGCGATTCAGATGATCCTCCTGCTTTGGTCTCCCAAAGCACTAGGATTACAGGCCTGAGCCACCATGCTTGGCTGAAACAAACTTTTTAGCTCCCACATATAAATAAGAATATGTGATATTTGTCTTTCTATGCTTGGATTATTTCACTTAGCACAGTAACCTCTAGTTCCATCCATGTTGCTGCAAATGACATGATTTCATTATTTTTTAGGGCTAAATAGTATTTTATTGAGTGTATACATCACATTTTCTTTATCCATTTGTTTGTTGATGGACTTTTAGGTTGATTTCATGTCTTTCCTATTGTGAATAATGCTGCGATAAACATGCAGGTGCAGTTCTCCCTCTGATATACAAATAGTAGTGGGATTGCTAGATCATATGGTAGTTCTATTTGTGTGTGTGTGTGTGTGTGTGTGTGTATGTGTGTATTTTATAAATCTCTGTACTGTTTTCCATAGCGGTTGTACTAATTTACATACCCACCAACTGTGTATGAGAGTTCCTTTTTCTCTACATCCTCTCTAGCATTTGTTATTGTCTTTTTAATAACAGCTATTCTAACTGGGGTAAGATGATATCTCATTATGGTTTTGATTTGCATTTCCCTGATGATTAGTGATGTTGAGCATTTTTTTCATATATTTGTTGGCCATTTGTATGTCTTCTTCTGAGAATTGTCTATTCATGTTCTTTGCCCTCTTTTTGATGGGATTATTTGTGTTTTCTCTTGTTGAGTTGTTTGAGTTTCTTGTATGTTCTAGATATTAGTCCCTTGTCAGATGAATAGTTTGCAGATACTTTCTTCTGTTCAGCAGATGTCTCTGCACCCTGTTCATTGTTTCCTTTGCTGTGCAGAAGCTTTTTCATTTAATAGAGTCAAATTTGTCTGTTTTTATTTTAGTTGTATGTGCTTTCGAGGTCTTAGCCACAAAATCTTTGCCTGAACCAATGTCCTTATGTATTTTACCTATATTTTCTTCTAGTAGTTTTATAGTTTAAGGTCTTATGTTTAATCCTTCTTGAGTTGGCTTTTGCATAAGTTGAGAGACAGGGTCCAGTTTCTTTAGCTTTTTTTAAAAATTAAACTTTCACCTGCACTTTCCTTTTTGATTCCATTTAATCAATTGCCAAGCTCCTCATTTGGCAGATGAAGAAATAGGCCAAATGATTTAACAGTAAGGCAACTTGCATAGGGTCATACAAGGAGATACTAGAAGAAGAGTACAAATAGAGGGTAGATAGTAACTATGTTTTAGATGAGATAAAATTGAGGTGATTGTGGTATATCCAGGTGAAGAAACCTATAGACAGGTAGATACATTTTTTGGTCGGCTGCAGTGGCTCACGCCTGTAATCCCAGCACTTTCAGAGGCTGAGGCAGGAGGATCACTTGAGGTCAGGAGTTCGAGACCAGCCTGACCAACATGGCAAAACCCTGTCTCTGCTAAAAATACAAAAATTAGCTGGGCATGGTGGCAGGTACCTGCAATCCCAGCTGCTTGGGAGACTGAGGCAGAAGAATCACTTGAACCCAGGAGACGGAGGTTGCAGTGAGCTGAGATCGTGGCACTGCATTCTAGCCTGGGCGACAGAGACTCTGTCTCCAAAAAAAAAAAAAAAAAAAAAAAGATACAAAGTTAAGTCTTTGTGAATATGTTTAGAAATGTGACTTGAACTTTTAAGTTCCTCTCCAAGAAATCAGATCAAAGATTTTTTACGTTCTGTTCAGTCACATTTACAATAGTTTATTATCTACTTACAACATGCAAAGTAATGTTGTAGACATATTGAGGGCATGTTAAAAATGAATAAGATAGTCTTTGCTTTCTAGAGGGTCATAACCATGAAGGAGATACTTTTAAAGTATATGTGGGTTCAGGTATGGTGGCTCATGCCTGTAATCGTAGCACTATTGGGAGGCTGAGTCTGGAGGAGTACTTGGGCCCAGGAGTTCAAGGTTATAGTGAGCTGTGATTGTGCCACTGTACTCCAGCCTGAGTGATGGAACAAGACCTTGTCTCTTAAAAAAAAGCATATATGGGTAAATACTAGAAGAGATGTACAATTGAAGTGATGAGATTGCAAGGAGAAAGGGGAGAAACATATTTATTGGGATGATCTGGGAAAGCATAAAGACAGTGGGTTTTGAGCTGATTCTTAAAGGATTGACAGAATTTCGTCAGATAGATGGCAGTTATTCTAGACAGCAGAAAATAACCTTGAGCAAAGGCTTGGAAATAGAAGAAAAGCAGCGCTTATTTTGGGAATACAGACCAACAATCATATGCTCTTGGGGGCATACGATTTGAGAATGTGTAAGGTTGAAAAGTAGGTAGGGCTAAGTTAATGATACTTTGTTAGAGTACTTCAAATTTAAGAACCTCCTTTTCAAACATGACATGTTATCCATTTGGATTTGTTGTGAGGCAAATTGTATTTTCTAGACTTATTTGACAAATACAGTGAAAGCTTGGAACCTAGTCAGCCCATGAAAGGACCTATGCTATTTCTTCCCCTCAATGAGATAGTTATAAAAGGGTGTACTGAATTCATAACGACACAGACTCTTATCACTAGATTAGAAAATGCCACATGTGACTAACAGGTGATTTCAGTTTCATTTTAGTATTCGATCTTAAAAGTTTACACATCCTTTAATTATACTTGTTTTTAGTGAAGAAGAAGTAAAATATTCACAAGATGAAGATTTTTCCAGAAGGGACTTGGAATCAAAGATGGCTTTTTATATTTGACAAGTAAGTCTGTGTTTTATATGTGTTAAATTTGGTTGACAAGGGAAAGTTTCCTAGTTTTAATTTCTTTAAATAGCTGCCTTATCTCAGATAGTTGTACAGTGGGCAAAAGTTGTGTATTTTGACTGGCAACCAGGTAGCCACATAGCTAGGTCGATATTTGGAATTGGATTGAAATTGTCTGTGTTAAACCATTCTTGCATTGCTGTAAAGAAATGCTTGAGACTAGATAATTTATAAGAAAAGAGGGCCAGGTGCAGTGGCCCATGGCTGTAATCACAGCACTTTGGGAGGCCAAGGTGGTTGGGTCACTTGAGGTCAGGAGTTCGAAATCAGCCTGCCCAATATGGCGAAACCCCATCTCTAATAAAAATACAAAAATTAGCCAGGTGTGGTGGCGTGCGCCTATAGTCCCAGCTAGTTGGGGAGGCTGAGGCAGGAGAATCACTTGAACCCATTGTCTTTGATATTAGCACTTGGCTCCTTTTTAGTTACGCAAGTATCTTTAGCAAGTGGTTGCTCTACAGCCTGCTTGTAGTCCTCTTCTGAAGAAGCTTTTTCTTTCTTTTTTACCTAACCAGGCTGCACATTTTTCAAACTTTTATGCTGTGCTTCCTGTTTAAATATAAATTCAAATTTTAAGTCATTTCCTTGCTCCCACATCTGGGCATAGGTTGTTAGAAGCAGCCAGTCCACATCTTGAATGCTTTGCTACTTAGAAATTTCTTCTGCCAGATACCCTAAATCATCACTCTGAAGTTCAAACTTCCATAGATCTCTAGGGCACAAATACAATCCAACCAAGCTTTTTGCTGAGGCATAACGTGGGTGATCTTTGCTTCACTTCTGAATAAGTTCTTCATTTCCATCTGAGACATCAGCAGCCTGGACTTGACTGTCCATATCATTATTGACATTTGGCTCACAAGTTTTAACCAGTCTCTAAGAAGGTCCAAACTTTCCCTCATTTTCCTGTCTTCCTCTGAGTCTTACGAACTCTTTCAGTCTCTGCCTATTACTCCGTTCCAACAGTTTCCATGTTTTCAGGTATCTTTATACCAAAACTTTACTACTGGTGCCAATTTTCTGTGTTAGGCCATTCTTGCACTGCTGTAAAGAAATACCTGAGACTGGGTAATTTATAAGAAAAGAAGTTTAATTGGCTCATGGTTCTTCAGGCTGTACAGGAAGCAAAATGCCAGAATCTGCTTTTGGGGAGGCCTCAGGAAGCTTACAATCATGGCAGAAGGTGAAGAGGGAGCAGGTGTCTCACATGGTGAGAGCAGGAGCAAGAAAGTAGTGGGGGAGACGCAACACTTTACAACAACCAAATCTCACTCACTATCATGAGGACAGCACCAAACCATGAGAGATCCACCCCATGACCCAAAACCTCCCACCAGGCCCCACCTCCAACATGGGGGATTACAATTCAACATGAGATTTGGTAGGGACATATATTCAAACTATATCATTGTCCTATTAAGTCAGTAAGTGTAAGAAGCCCCCTATGAAACCAAACTTTGTAGGTGGCATTATTTTACCTAAAGTGGTACCGGAATAGTGATCAACCATAGAAATAGAGATGAACTATTCTTAATACAAGTTATACAACTATGTGGTTATTGAAAGACCTGCAGGCTCTCTTTATCAGATCTGCTATATGTATTAGCTTGCTGTGTAGGTTTCCTTCTACTTGGTGTTATGTTCTGCCTGACTAAATTAGGAATATGGATATTACCATATTAGATTAATCTATTACATCTAATGTTCTGCCAGTAACAGTTTCTGTTTCTTGGAAATTATTCTTTCCATCTTGTAAAAGTTGACTCAAAACTGCTAGTGTTGGCCAGGTATGGTTCCTGTGCTGATAGTCCCAGCTACTCAGGAGGCTAAGGTGGGTGTATCATTTGAGCACAGGAGTTCAAGACCAGCCTGGGTAATATAGAGAGACCCTGTCTTGAAACAAGCAAACAAACAAACCAACAAACAACCCAAACCTGCTACTACATTTTTGTTACTCATGCCAGGTAAAGGAAGCTTTCTTTATGGGTTGAGAGATTAAGAAATGCACATATGGAATACTGAAGTATTATAGTCTGTAATTTTAAGGAAATTATCTACATTTAAAATCATTTAAAGCAAAATTTTAGCTTAACTATTGTGTTTTAGTCAACTTTTATTCTTTTGAACATGTTCTCAGACTATAAAGTTTTGCTGAGAAGAGGCAGTGGAAAATAAGTTAGAGAAAAAGAAAATTAACAAAAAATCTTTTTTTTTGTTTTGTTTTGTGACAGGGTCTCACTTTGTTGCCCAGACTAGAGTGCAGTGATGCTGTGTCAGTTCACTGCAACCCCCACTTTCTGGGCTAAAATGATCCTCCCACCTCAGCCTCCCAAGTAGCTGACACTACAGGAACACACTACCATGCCTGGCTAATTTTTGAATTTTTTTTTTTTTTTTTTGTAGAGGCGGGGTTTCACCATATTGCCCAGGCTGGTCTTGAACTCCTGGACTCAAGTGGTCCTCCTGGCTCAGCGTCCCAAAGTGAGCTTACAGGCATGAGCTACTGCACCTGGCCAAGATTTTTGTTTAGAAAGGCTTAGATCACATCATTTGCAATTCTAACTATATTCCTCTCTCCCTTTAATTTCACTACAGAAAAGAATAATATACAATAATAATAATAATAATAATAATGTGTAGTCTATCTCAAATCTATAGACTGCTATGCCTAAGTGTTATACTCACACAACTGTAAATGTTTTCTGTTTTCTCTTCAGATACTGTGTAAGTATATTGTGGGTAGGACCTAAGCATTGGAGACAAACAGATTTTACTCATTAGAGATAACTTACCTAAATACCAAACACCTCTATGCCTCAGTTTTCTGATCTGCAAAATAGAGTCAATAATACTGTTTTCAAAGGGATTTGTGAGGATTAAATGAAATAATTTATGCCAAAAAACTTCACTTTTAGTAAACACCTAGCAGTAGTAGCTATTATTACTACCATCTGTTCTTTTATATATGCAATTTTTTTCTTAGTAAAGCTTAAGAAATTATGTTTTGAAGAATGATATTAGAACAGGATTTGTATACACATTAAACATATCCAATAGAACCATGCTAAGGAATTTCCGACAATATTTTATGAAATTTGTTTTTGGAGGATTCAAAATCTAGTGCGTTAGACTTGTGAACTAGCTGTTCCTTCAAGCTGGAAAACTTTTCCATCTCATATTCACATGGCCAATTTCACTACTCAAATGCCACCTTCTCAGTGAGTCCTGCCCTGGCCAATCTAATTAATGTCACAGCCCATGATATACCCATCTCTACTGTAATTGCTGATCTTCCTTACTATGCTTTTTTTTTTTCATAGCACTTACCACCTTCTAATATTTGATTTATTTATTCATTACTTTTATTGTTAATTGACTATATTTCAAATTTTATGTTTAAAAATGATACATAATGTACATATTTTTGAGGTGCATGTGATAATTTAATACATTAATATAATTTATAAAAATCAAATCATTGTAATTGAGATACTCCTCGATTATCTTTCTGTGCTAGGATATAAGTTCCACAGGGGCAGGAATACTTGTCTCTCATCACTTGATATATCCAGAAGAGCCTAAAACAGCACAAGGTAGGTTCTAAGTAAATGTTTAGTTAGTTCAATTGAGCAGAACCTCCCAATTAATCTCATCCTCCTAAACCCCATGTGTGTGTTGGCTTGAGGTCTTTCATGTTAACATAAGAAACCTACTGCAGGGAAATTCATGGACCACTAGATTTTAAAAACTCAGTTTTTAAACTGTTTTTTTCTGTCCTGTTGGTCACAATGTTCTTGACAGTTGAAGCAGTGATCATAACTGTTGCTTTATTCTGTGAGAAGAATGAAATACCTTTTAATATTATTCCGAAGACTTTTAAACTAAATACTTATAAGTGATAAAATGATGAGAACACAGTAAGTATTAGTTTGTGTGTGTATTTTTTAGTAAACATTCACCTTGGTGTGTTTAAAGTAATAAATATTTTTTATAGAAATATAGTGTGTTAATTGGTCTGGCTGTCATAGCAGAATACCACAGACTTGTTAGCTTAAACAATAGAAATTTATTTTTTGACAGTTCTGGACACTGGAAGTCCAAAATCAATGTGCCAGCAGGGTTGGTTTCTGGTGAGGTTCTCTCTCCTTGGGTTACAGATGGCTGCCTTCTTGTGTCCTCACGTGGCCTTTTCTCTGGTGTTGCTTCCTCTTGTAAGAACACCAGTCCTGTTGCATCAGGACCCCAGAGCTCATTTCTCCCTCCTTACCTTTGAGATCGTACCCATAGTACTTTTTCACATAACATTATATGATGTAAAGTCAGAGATTGCAAACTCATATGCTTACAGAGGCCAGGCAAGCGGTCAGCAAGGTCATAATGATAACTTAGCATTTATTGAGCCCTAACTGTGTGCCAAGTACTTTTCTAAGGGTTTGTTTATCTTGACCTTCACAACAACCCCATAAGATGTATACCATTGTTCTCTCCACATTTTAGATGAAGAAAATAAGGTATAAGGCTGAAAAGAACACATTTAAGGACACACAGCTAGTAGGTAGCTGCATTAACGTTGAAACCTAGCTGTTGAAATGCCTGAAATGGGCCAGATGACTACTGTGATGAACAGGAGAGAGCATGCCCATCTAAAGGGGCAGCCCCTGCTCATGAAGGAGTAATCTAGTATAGAGGATCTTTCTGTTTTTTGATAGCAGTTAAACATTTGCATTTTTTTGTGAAATGTTGGCAATTAATTAGGAAAACAAACCAAAAAACCACCAATGAGTCAGACAAATCTTGTATACAGATTGCATTCATTCAGACTGTTTATAAAATAGTAATAATAGTAGAATCTACATTTTAAGTGATAGAAGAATTAAATTGGGGCGTTTTATATACAACATTTTGCTCAGTGCTTGGCACATAGTGGTAAGTAAATGTTAACTTTTATTAGTAGCATAAACATTTTCTCCAGTCATTGAGATTCTGCGTAAGTATCATTTACTATTGTTTTTATTTAAAAAAATTATATACCTAGCAACATCAGTACAGGTCTTGTTAAAAAAACTCAAAAAATATAGCAATATAGAGAGAAAACAACTGAAGTTCCTTTTGTTCCTTCTCTCAACCCTCTTCCTCTCTCCATATATAATTAAAAACCATAAATAGTGTACGGTATTTATCTTTCTGGGATTTGCTTTTTTCACTTAAAACGTCTTGAAGATCTTCCAAAGTGAGTTCATACAAAGCTGCTTTACTCTTTTTAAAGGCTGCATGGTGTATCCTTTAGTATGGATGTACCATAATCTGTTGAACTAGGCCTCTCAATTGTCATTTAGGTAGTTTTCAGTATTTCGCTCTTATAAAAAAGGCTCTGCAAAGATTATCTTTTTGCACATTTTTGAATATTTCCCTAGGATAGAATCTAGATGGAATTGCTGGGCCAAAAGCATATTAAGAATTTTTACAACTATTGCACCTTTGTTACATATATTTTAGTAGTTTTGTAATATTCCATTTTATGAATCTACCTTTATTTACTTTACCATTTCCTTATGTTGAAATATTTAGGTTGTTTCCAATTTGCCACTATAAATAGTCATGTGATAAATATCTTTGTAGGTAGGTAATATTTTTAAAAGATAAATAGTCTGAGAGGAAGTTATCAACTATCAAGTATATTTCTGAGACTTTCCCAAAGTTGTTACAAGAACTGTATTTAGTGGCAATATTTTTAGAAAAAGTAGAGCTTTGATGAAATCATTGCTAAGGGTTTTTAATATTATACTTAGGATATTTTAGAACTTAAATATCTGTTTTATTTTAGGTCTTGTCATCTGTAATGAAGATCATTGTGAAACAGAAGATTGATTAAAGCCTTGTAACATTGGACCTAGATTAGAGATTTAGAAAAGAAAGTCAAAATTAGTCACTTTGGTGTTAGTGTTCCCATTTCATAATATTTATTCTTTCTTCTAAATAGATTTAGGGAGTAGAAATTAAAATTCAATGCTATACCAAAGGATATACTAATATTTGTTCGGCTTTTTTTCCCTTTTTGTGAGGGAGAAAGAAGTAGATAACGAAAAGCTATAGTCATTCATAATGAAATATACTAAACAGAATTTTATGATGTCAGTTCTTGGCATTATAATCTACATAACTGATTTAATTGTGGACATATGGGTATCTGTCAGATTTTTCCATGAAGGACAGTATGTTTTTAGTGTTTTAGCATTAAGCTTTATGCTTTTTGGAACACTTGTGGTTCAGTGTTTCAGTTATTCTTGGTTCAAGGCTGATTTAAAGAAAGCAGGCCAAGAAAGTCAGCATTGTTTTCTTCTACTTCATTGCTTGCAAGGAGGAATTTTTACAAGGTAAGCATACATGTTTAATCATTACCACTGTGTTTCTTTTATCCAAACAGAAGCTACCTTTATGTATCTGGATAGTCAAATGTACAAAGATCCCTTATTTGCATGAAGCACAAAGGTTACTTGCTCCTCACTATTGTGCTTATGTAAGTCATTGCCATACTGTCAGAATTTTCCAGGGTCATTAATAAAAATATTTACATTTATCTAATTAGGTTACTTTTTCTGATATGAACTCAGTTTTCACGAGAAGGGAAAAGACATTTCTGTGTTGTACAGAACTTTTATCTTCTCTGTATATTCTAAGTCTGATTGTGTAAATATGGCATTTCACTTGTAACTGAGAGAGTACTCACTTTTTTATACTTATCATTGATTTAACTAAATTAAATTTTTGCTGCAATAATGCAGTAGCTATATGGTTAGCTAGATACAGAGTCATAGAACTAAAGCAACCTTAAGAATCATCTTGTTATAGGTAGAGAAACTAGACTCTAAATAGGCCCTCAGAATTCCATGATTCTCTGTATAGTTCATTTTATATGACCTCTCCATTATTCCTTTAAGTAATTCTACTTTTGATTCTATCCTGTTAAAAAGCAGCAAATTCATGACCCTTAGTTGAATGTATTAAAAAAATTCCAGGCCAGGCGCGGTGGCTCAAGCCTGTAATCCCAGCACTTTGGGAGGCCGAGACAGGCGGATCATGAGGTCAGGAGATCAAAATCATCCTGGCTAACACGGTGAAACCCCGTCTCTACTAAAAAATATGAAAAACTAGCCGGGCGAGGTGGCGGGTGCCTGTAGTCCCAGCTACTTGGGAGGCTGAGGCAGGAGAATGGCATAAACCCCGGGAGACGGAGCTTGCAGTGAGCCGAGATTGCGCCACTGCACTCCAGGCTGGGTGACAGAGTGAGACTCTGTCTCAAAAAAAAAATTCCAGGCTTTTCTTATATTAATTAATGGGAATAATGTCATTGTATATACGTGGAGACTTATAATTTTCAAAGTATTTTCACATATTTTGCCTTTTTGAAGCTATAGTTACTATGTTTTTAATAAGTAAAAGAAACAGAATGTGCAATGAGAAAGAAGTTTACAGGTTTTAGGAAAAGCTGGAAAGAAAGTGCTTTAGTTGTTGGTATTAGAAGTCAATTTTTAAACTGCAGATTCTCAGTAAGATGCAAATGTTTAAAGAAATACAGTAAAAGTGCTGATGAACAAATACATATGTAATAGGTAAGATTAAATGAGTATTCTGTATGAGAAATATTGAGAATTATGTAGTTGTAATATTGAAGAAAGACAAAAGTTGCTTTTGCAAGGAATTTAGAAGTATGGTAAATTCTCTGTTATTTGCCATTCTAATAATGGAAAATTTGCACATCTGCAGAACTATTTTCATCAGTATTCAAATGAGGACCTTAAGGTACATTGTGTTATAAATTATAAATTGTATTATAAAAGAAAGGTCAAATTGCCTTGATTTCCAGGGTCTCTTGATACACCTAGTAATTTTTGATTGAATATTACACATTCTATACAAAAGATGATAGAAGTTCCAAATGCTGCTATTTTTCTCTGGTAGGCATTTAGACTAAGGTTCAGTCTGCTTTTGGTTTGCAGTCTCTAGGGAACTGAGAGTATGGTGTGGTCATCGCACCTCCACAAGTCCTGAACGCTGATTTTTATCTTGGCACCACAAGACTACCAGAAAGCCTGTTTTGCTTTTTCAAGACTTTCTGCTTAGCTTTTAGCCTCTATGGTGTAGTTTCAAAATTTGGCACATATGTTGGCGGAAAAATTGATTGAGTTGAGGTCCCTCAGTAACAGACCTCTAAAACCTAGCTTAAACATCTTGAAGATCTTCTGGAGTGAGTTCATACAAACTGCTTTACTTTTTTAAAAGGCTGCATGGTGTATCCTTTAGTATGGATGTACCATAATCTATTGAACTAGGCCTCTCTTCTTGCCTAACAACAGCCCTTTGCTTGGGCAAAATCCAGGTTTTCAACCTCTTGTTCTGAGTAATAGAATCAGCAAGTATTTCCAAGCAATAAGCATTTGTAGATATATCAGCCCAGTTTATAGTTTCTCTTGTTGCTTTGGCAGGCGCATTGGTCTTTTCCAATATACTGGATCCTACCTAGAAGTATAGTGCATAATGTGTGGTCTTAAATTGTTCTGAGTATAAAGTAAAAGAAAACCTTTGCTGTTAACATTGATAATTTAAAAACCTCAAAACACTAGAATTTGATTTGCTATGCTCCCAACTAATATATTTATATTGTTGTCATTTTAATGCCTGTTTTTAATCCCACTAGATGATATTATTATGTATTTTTCTACTTTATGTAGTTAAATTCTACTAAATTTTATTTATGTTTACCCATATATTTACTATTCTCTTTTTTATTTCTTCTTGAATCTCAGGACTTCTACCTAGAATTACTTTTCTTTTCTTTTTTTTTGAGACAGGGCCTTATTCTCTCACCCAGGCTGACCTGCAGGGGCGCCTTCCTGGCCCTTTGCAGCCTCCACCTCCTGTATTCAAGAGATTCTCTTGCATCAGCTTCCCGAGTAACTGGGATTACAGGCATGCACCATGACACTTGGTTAATTTTTGTATTTTTAGTAGAAATGGGGTTTCGTCATGTTGGCCAGGCTGGTCTCGAACTCCTGACCTCAAGTGATCCACCCACCTCTGCCTCCCAAAGTGCTGGGATTATAGGCGTGAACCACTACATTTGGCCCTAGAATTACTTTACTTCTGCTTTCCCGAGGCCTGCCTTTTAGAATTTCATCTATTGAGGGGCTGTTGGTGACATCATCTCTCAATTTTTGGTTGTTTGAAAATATCTTTATTTCATTATCTTTCTTGAGAGATATTTTAGTGGCTATAGAATTCTAGATGAGTAGTATTTTCTCTCTGCATATTGTATTTGATTGATTGTTGGATTCTATTGTTGCTCTGGAGGAGTTAGATTTTAGTCTCATTGCTGCTCTTTTGAAAGTGTTTTGTCTTCCTCCTCTGGCTGCTCTTAAGATTTTTCTCTTTATCTGTGGGTTTCTGCAGTTTAATTATATGTTTAGATGTAGATTTTATTTCTCTTGCTTACGATTTGTTGGTCCTCTTGATTCTGTGGATTATTATCTTCTATTAATTCTACACAATTGTCAGCCATTATCTTTTTTAACGTTTTCTTTACTATGTTTTGTGTTTCTTTCCCTTCTGGGATGCCAGTCAAATGTAAGTTATACCTTCTCGCTGTGTTTAACATAACTGTTAAATGTTAGATTTTAAAAATTCTTATTTTTTAACTCTCTCTGATACATTCTGTGGAATGTTATAATCCAAATTCCTCTCTCTCATTCCTTATATCATTGCTGTCATTCATTTCACTTATAGTAAGTATACATAAGTATATAAATATATACACATAAGCATACATAATCAAATATATTGTCATATTATTTTGAACTGTTATCTGGATCAGTTAAAATTAAGATCAATTAAATGTAAGAATTATATTTAAATAATTTAAAATTAGATCAATTAAAAATCAGAAAAGTAAGTTTTTGTTTATATTCAATTATTCCTTCTTCAGGGCTCTTCCTTTCTTTATATATTTTAATAGATCCAAGTTTCTGACCTGTAACATTTTCCTTTTCTTTGAAAAATCTATTTTAACATTTCTTGCAAGGCAAGTCTACTGGCAACAAGTTTCCCCAGTGTTGTGGAAATCTTTATTCTTCACTTTCGAAGTATAATTTCACAGGGTACAGAATTCAGAGTGGTGTTTTCTTTCTTCTTTTTTTTCCTCTCAACACTTTAAGTATTTCACTCCATTTTTTTTTAAATTTATTTTTTATTTTTTATTTTTTTAGACAGAATCTCACTCTGTTGCTCAGGCTGGAGTGCTGCAGTGGTACGGTCACAGATAACTGCAGCCTCTAACTCCCTGGGCTCAGGTGATCCTCCCACTTCAGCCCCACAAGTAGCTGGGACCACAGGTGTGTGCCACCACACCGAGCTAATTTATATATATATTTTTTGGTAGAGACAGAGTGCTTTTTTCTTTTTAGATGGATTCTTGCTCTGTTGCCCAGGCTGGAGTGCCGTGGGCGATCTTGGCTCACTGCAACCTCTGCCTCCTGGGTTCAAGCAATTCTCCTTCCTTAGCCTCCTCAGTAGCTGGGACTATAGGCATGTGCCACCACACCTGGCTAATTTTTGTATCTTTTGTAGAGACAGGGTTTCACCATGTTGCCCAGGCTGGTTTTGAACTCTTAGGCTCAAGTGATCTGTCTCCTTTGGCCTCTCAAATCCATTCTCTTCTTGCTTGAATGGTTTCTGAGGAGAAAGTGCATGTAATTTTTACCTTTACTCCTTTAGGTGTTTTTTCCTCTTTGGCTTCTTTTAAAATTTTTTTTCAGTTTTAATTATTATGGGTACATAATAGGTGTATGTATTTACGGAGTACATGTAATGTTTTGATACAGACATACACAATATGTGATAATCACTAAAGGGTAATTGGGGTATTTATCACCTCAAGTATTTATTTATTTTTTTGTGTTAGGGACATTCCAATTTCACTGTTAGTTATTTAAAAATATACAGTAAATTATCGTTGACTTTAGTAACCCTGTTGTGTTATCAAATGCTAGAGCCTATTCATTCTAACTACATTTTTGTACCCATTAATCATCCCTATTCTACCTGACTCCCTGCTACCCTTCCCAGACTCTGGTAACTATTATTCTACTCTTTAACTCCATGAGTTTGTTTCAATTTTTAGCTCCCATTATGAGTGAGAACATGTGAAATTTGTCTTTCTGTGCCTGGCCTGGCTTTTTTCACTTAATATAATGTTCTCCAGTTTCATCCACGTTGTTGCAAATGAAAATGACAGGATTTCTTTCTTTCCTCTCTCTTTCTTTCTTTATTTTTAAATAGAGACAGGGTCATCATAGCTCATTATAACCTTGAACTCCTGGGC